CCCTCTGAAAGGTCCTTTCTCACAGTGAGGCATCAAGGGAGTGGTGGCTGCACAGATTGTCTGTACTGAGAGGAACCCTGTCTCTGATGTCTGAGAGCTCAGACAGATGATTGCTCCAAGGAACCCTGATAGCTGTTCTCTTGCTGCTTCATTTGCCTCAGTGGGAGCACAGGCTGGCAAAGCTATCCAGAACATCTGCCTTGATGCCTCACTAAGGTTTCTGGTGTTGTGTGGTGACACAATTTCCCATACTTTCCACTCAAAGGCAATGGAATTTATTACACTTCACATGAGACCCTGAAGAGCCACAGAGCAGCCAATACAGGACTATATATAGTTTGACCTGACATAAGGTGACTTCCTATGTCCCTCATGCCACAAGTAGAGCCATGTTCTCTAATGCTCATCCTGTCACTAGGCATTGCCAGAGCTTGTATGTAATGCATTACAATCCAAAGGTGCGTTATAGACAAATTCTATGTACACAAATAGTGCACAGGAAGCTGTATTTCAAAAGCAATGCTTACATGTGGAAAGGACTCCATCCCCTGTTTGGATATAGTAATCGTCTTAGTCCTTTTTCAACGTTACCTTTAAAACATACATTTTACAGGCATTTGGGGCAGGCATTGCATGCCGCTTTCTTCTCATTCCCATTTTCCCCCAAGAAAAAGACTGATGTATAATAAGCAACAACTGATGAATTTGTAATAATTTAACTTAATTTGCCTTTGAAATGTTAAAGCAACAAAATATTTTTGCAGAAATTTATAAGTCACATGGTAAACTATTTCTAAAAAAGTAACTTCCCAAGCTCTGGATATTGTCACCTGGGGTAAAGTTCTTTCCCAGCTTCCAATATATTGATTACTTGGATCCACTCATCCTGACCTTGCAAATCTTGGAGCAAACCTTGTCCCCAGAGATACTTTAAAAAAGCACATTTATGTTAACATTTGGCTGAGTTGCTTTCAGAGCTTGGAATCTTTATCTTTTTTGTACTAGAACTCCCAGAATCATAAACTACTATTGCCTACATTTTCAAAAGCATTTAATTTGCTTTATAAAAAATAATAACAATTAAAAAACAAAAGGGATATGTTACATTTCTCACTTTTTTCATTGCATACATAAGCAATATTCCCCATTGCTCATGGAATTTATCTGCACCTTTCGAGTAATTCCTTACATCACTCAACATTCTTTGATAATGTATCAATTTAGCAAAACAGGTAATGCCTCAGATACATTTAAACCGGTCATTGATACAAAGCTGTCCTGGGTTGTTTTTCCCCTCATAGAATTATATGTTATTATAGGAATCTTAGCACCAAGAGGAGTTGAAACAAGTCTTTTTAAATAGCTTTTACATTTTATATAACTTCAGGATCCAGTGACATTTTACTATCTAACAGATCATTAATAAAACCATTCAAAATTTGTCAAAAGAAAGTTGGTTTCAGGCAAAATGTAAATACATGTATTATATCTGACATATTGTGAATTACATCTCCATCACTTATACAACAATTCAAAAAATGTAAATGCTAATTTATGGTGTGCATCGTACCACTGAAATGGCATGTTACAAAAATTCTCTCTCTCAAGCTCATTGAAATTAATTTTGAACTGATGCCTTCCTAAATTCACTTCCATTCTCTTAAACTGCAAGTCCATTTTTCATTTCCTTATGGCTGTGTTATTCAGATGCAGTTACAATGAACAAGCATGACTTATTGTTCTCCTATACATGTGATTTTCTTTCTGGTTCGAACACTATCTTTGATCTCAGCCCCCCATATATTCTAGGTAAGGCAGCTTATGTAGTCCTAATTCAGAAAAAGAAAACTGAAATAGCTGGACTTTATTTCTGCAAATCTATTTATACCTTATTCATATTGTAAGATCAGCTGATGATCAACTAATCTTTCCAATGTAGTCAGCTCTCCATTTCTCCAAATACTAAAACTGGTTAAGAAAGACACCTCATAGAACTGTTCATTGCACAAAACAGAGATGAAGTTTCAGGACTTTAAGGACTTTAAAGAACAGCTTCCTCCCCCACTATGCCTTCAGGGAGAAGAGCCAACTTGTGTGTCCTTGGGCAAGCTACATAGTCCCAGGGTACCCCAAGAAGGAGGTCATGATAAACTACTTCTGAGTACTTCACATTTGGAAAACTGTGAAAAGGGGTCACCGTAAGTCAGAACTGACTTAATGGCACATGGATATTATTAATAATATAGAGTCTATTATCCACTGTCTACCTTGAATAAAACTCTCTCCCATTCCTTCTCTCTTCATTTGTTTCCAAAAAAAGAGTAATGTTTCTAAGGTTAAGTTGCTTTGAATGAGTACTAGAGTAGAATGTCAGAGTCTCATCATATATATTTGGAAATACGTCCAAACCTACATTGCTAGCAAACTGGACACTCTTCTGTGTCCAGGACCAGGTTGTGGGTTTTCCTTGTTTATTGCCTTAGGTGAAGAGTAAAAGGAGTCATGTGGGAGCCTCAGTGAGACAGGCTGAAATTTTTGCATAGACATAATTTTGATTCAACAGGATCCCTTTAAAATCTGCTGTGAAATTCCAACTGGCAAAGAATACAGCCTGATTGTGAAATGCTCTTTTGAGCTATCAGGGCTAAAAACAGCGAAGAGGTGTTACAGGAGAGAGAAGTAAATTTTTAGATGTGAATCTAAGCCAACCCAATTGGGAAATGGGGAAATGATGGTGGTGAAGAAATAAATATGGAAAAGCAGCCGTTTTAATTTTGCAATCACATTTTCCAGCTATAACTCCATTATGAAGATGATCATTTGCCATTACCCCCAGGGATAATTTGGGGGCAATGACTTGGTTTTCTCCTTCCAATGAGCTGGGAAGGATTGCTGAATTATTCTGGTCACACAGACTGATTGTTCCAGCGAAATCGTATCTGGAGCCACAAGCAAGATCTAATTCAGAATGGAGGAGGCTTTTGCACAATATGGATGGCAAGAGAGAAAAACCATTGCCAAATGCTGTTGTGCTCTTTATTACTAACAGCTGCAATACTGGCTGCCTTTTAAGCATCACAGGGAGTGACAGAGGTGGGGGGATAATAGATGGTGACTTTCTCTTTTCCCACCCCAATCTATTTCCAAATGCAAGTTTAATTATTCACCCTGTTTATGGACAAGGAAAGAAAATTAATACATCTTGGGAAATGATTCATCCAGCTTCTGACAGCAGGCAGATTATGAAAAATATTCACACTTGCTGGTCTGTGACAAAATGGAGTTTTTAAATATTTAGATCTTGCATGTGGCTGTAGGCGAGCGAGAAGGAATAAGGAAACTCTCTGAGGAGGAAGAAAAAGGAAGACAGGAAATGGCAAGAGAGGACACTGAATCTATATGCCATTTGGAAATATCTCAATGTCAAAAGGAAGAAGTCTACCAGGAATGAAAGCAGTCATCAATAAAGCAAACCGTTTTCCAAACTTATGGGCGGAAATCACAGTAGCTAAGTCACAAGAGAAGAAAAAAAATGGAATTTAGTGCCAAACTAGACATTTGCTCCCTATTCAGACATTCTGCATTATTGGCATGGAATGAATGTCATGAAATCTTCTTTTCTTCGCCTTCATTGCAGCATGACTCCTATGTATGTTCTTTTCATGCTGCTCACACCCTTCAAGTTCTCTGTCCATAACAAGATGGTGGGAGACAGGTGGCAACTGAATAAAAAAAGAGGGCCACCTCTGCTGGAACGGGTGGGAACTGGATTGCGGACAACTGCGGTGGGAGGGGGAGAGAGGGAACAGTCCACTTGATGGAACAAGGATTCAACACTGTACAGTATAATCACCAGGTGATTCTATTCCGCCCTTTTGGTGTTTATTATCAAAGTATACTAGTAGGGCTGTGTGGATATTGCTTATCCAACCCCCTTCACCCTGACCTTCCTTGACTCATATCTTTGGCAAATGCTGCATAATCCCCTGATCCTGACTTTGAAGAAGTGGACTTGTCCATGAAAGTTCATAGTAAATATCAATTAGTCTTTAAGGCGCCACAACATTTTTGTCTCCCCCCCCCTTAATTCTGATAGTTTCTCAGTAATTAAAGCCATTGTGACACAAGCATGCATGACTTTGTCATTAAGCATTACTAACAGGAAAAGAAGAAGGTCCTTCTTTGCAAACCAAGTGAGGAAAAGAAAAAAACAAACTAACCAGATGTAGGTTATATAAATTCAGGAATCCAGAAGAATACAAGTGCCTTTGCCTGCCCATTTAAAACAATTACTGTTTTGGAGGTCTTTTATTTGCAGCAAGAAGTACCTATTTGCCCTCAGTTAAATTTCACTCTAATTTAATGCTCCCAAGTTTGACACCACTGTCTACTCTCTGTTTTAAGATCAAGACCAACCCCCAGTGAGATTTCTTCTTTGCCCCACTTAACTACCAAGCTGATGCTCACTATTTTGCAACATTTCAGCTAGATGGTTCAAATAATAAAGCTATACTCTATCTAGATTTCAATATTTTTCTTATGGCTCAAAATGGCTATCATTGCTTTTTTGACATCCGGAATTTATGCTTCCAAGTGGATTCTTCCAGTTTCATCAAAAGAAAAAGTCAAGTTTTGGTTGTAAGCTAAATCCACAAATTACACTTATAGAAAATTAATAACTTTCAGTGGCTTGCTGCTGAAAATTAACAAATACCTGATAAAAAAATTGGGGAATACACCACATTCAGCATATGCCTGAGAATCCCAGTGCGGACTTGTTAATTGACAGTTTTGTTAATTGAAAATATTCTCATGTGCCTTCCACAGGTGTAATTAAGTAAGTTTATTTTGGCCATAAAATTTTTCACTTATATCCCATACTAGTGTAATGTAAGGCCAGCAAGAACAACCTTAATATTCAAAGGAACAGACGTACTTTTTTTGTCATGATCAATCTAAACTTCTTGCTCTCCTGTGTCCAGCTAAGTAAGAATACTTGCCTCACAAGGAGAATTTTTCATCGGAGCTGGAAACACAGCACTGGTCATCACAACTCCTTCTCCAGCCGGTGTCTCACTGGTGTTAAGCAACAGTGCACGTTCTGGAGGGAGAAGAAAGGAGGGAGGTGATATTTGTTACTGGAGCGAGGGTAGTTAAAGGTTTAATAAACTGCATCTAGCTCAAAGATTGGAAACTTTTTTGGAATATAGCTCCTAGAATCCTCTTAGCACATGTGTGAGAGTGTTCACGCAAATGTTAGGTGGTCCCTTACTGTATCCTTACTGTACATGGTGAATGAATTTTTTAATATTCTTTTGATGTAGTGATGCAATTTCATATACTCTGTAGTCCTGAGTTATATGCAAGTATGTTCTGTCTATTTCCTTCACAAACAATGTTTATCTCTGGCTTGGGATTTGTTTTCTTTACTTGTTCTGTATCAAAAGGCATCCATTCTTTTCTCTTTTCTTCTTCTTCTTTAATTGATTTTGAGTGAATGTTTGCTATTATGAAAGATTCAACAGTAATATTTCTTTGAAGCTGTAGGCTGAAGGTCACTTTTATCACTGCAAAGGGAACTGGAAGAGAATTCCAAAGAAATGGAAACCTTAGTGCTCTGAATTACTGAGACCTGGAAACAAAGCAATGCCTTACTCCTTTACCATCACCCAAAGACACTGAAGCAGCACAAGGTTAATAACCAAAGGTTTGATCACCAGACTATCTCCCCAAATTATTGACATGTTGAACAGAAAGATTCTAATAAGAGTTGTACTTTTCAAAACATGGTGCATTACTTTGTTGCACATGGTATCTCCTGCTACTAGCACAGTGCCAAAATCTGTCCTGCAGTTTCCTGGAATTTTTCTACTCCAGTGAAAGATAGCTTTGTTTATCTGTCTCATTTTTGCTTTTACTTTAGAATTTATTTTAAGGGTGTTTTTGGTGTAAATTTTTAGCTCACCTTATTATGGGGAAATTCTAAAAGTAGTGGTTTTCCTTTCTATTACACATCATTCTACTGCTGTTGCTTTCTTGGCTACCTGCGCTTCCTTGTGATCTGAAAAAGCTCATGGAAATATCTGTTGCCATTATTTCAGCCTTGTATGCTGCCTTCAGTGGGTATGGCTGGGAGGGACCTTTTTGATCTGGGGTGACTATCAATCAGTTCAGCAGCAACCAACTGTTCCTTCCCTGCCTTTGATTTTGAAGAGAGCCACACCTGCTGCTTAAGTGTCTTTTCCCCTCTCTTTTTAGTTTGCTGGCGTTTATCCAGTTAGTGCAGTTAGTATGTAGTCTGTAGAAGTCTGCTGGAAGCAGGATGTGAGTCTGTTGAGGCCTGTAGCTGTAAGCAGTTACTTTTGTACAGTGTGCTGTTTTTGATCTAATCTAAGTAAATGTAACATTTTATTCTTTCTCTTACCAAGGTCTTAGTGAGTACTTGAGACTTTAAGTGCCACTTGATGAGACTGTAAGGGGTGGTTGATTCTGGGAAGACCTGAAGATAATTCTCCTCTGCAAGTTGTTGCACTTCTGTTGCACAGCTAGAGATTTTTTAATGAAAATTCACAACTTTGCAACAGGCACTGTCATGCATCATCTTCTCATAGGTTTTAACTGGAGTTTATAAAACTAGGAAGGCTGCATTGGAGGAATGATTGTACTGTACAATGAAAGACAGGACACTCCAGCATACCTTGTAACTAATTTAATTAGAAGAATTGTACATCCCAGTCCCATGACCATCTCCCAAATTTCCCTCTTCTGTTACTGTATATTGTGTGTGTGTGTGTGTGCGCGCGCGTGTGTTTCAGCACTGCTCTTAGCTCATGGGAGTCACAATTATATAGAGTTCTTCTACTCCTCATTGTATTCGGACATACCTTTCAGAAAACCGAAGTGGTTATACTGTGGATTTACAATATGCCACAAGTGGGCCTCCTGGAGAGTTGATGAACTTTGGATCCAACCACAGTCTCCATCTTCAAAGGAGCAGTAGAAGCCTGAGGGAAGTTCTTCTGCAAGTGGAAGAATAGCAAGAAACAAGAAATTTAGACCAGCAGTTTCTGCGCACTGATTACAAGAAAGTGCCCCGGTGCTTCTCTCTGGGCAAGCTCCCTTGTTCAGACATATGCAGTTTTTGTCTTTTTTATTTTTTAATATTTTTTCCTTTGGGTTTTGCCTGATATGCTTCCACAGATGGACAAGGTTACCTCTCCTAAAACAGTAACACTCCCCAATCACTCCCAAATATGGGAAACTAGAGTTCATGTGGCAAGGCATAGCACACAGACACTGGTCTGTAAGGACGCCTTCAGGTAGCAGGATTTCAGCCCTCTTTATGCTGAAGCAGTTTGTTGAGAAGATCTGATAACAGCACTGTCTTGCTAGGACTGCCCTTTCTATGTCACTCTAATGGGTGGTCTGTCTCCAATTTTTACCAATTCAGATCTATCTACTGACATGAGAGCGCAACCCATACAGGCATAGGAGCACCCCATTTCTGTGCACTGAAGCACAGCACAAACTGCAGCGGCACTCTCTGTTGTGGTTTTGGAGTTTATTGTGGCTACTGCACACTATGTTATTCTTCACACATTCTGTTGCTGTGCTTATCTTTTAGAACATTTACAGCAGGAGTTAGGCAAACATTTGCTGGATTTTTTATTTGCATCCTCACCTGCTGTAAGTGGTTTGCGTGACTGGGAGGGACATTTTTGGGCTGGTGTGATTATCTATCCAGCACCAACCAATCATTCCTTCCAGCCTTTGAATTCCAAGAAATCCCCCACCTCCCTGCTAAATGTCTCTTTCCTTCTCTTTCCTGTGTTGGTGGCAGTTTGCTGGTGATCTGTTCCCAACTGTAAGTAATAAAACGTTTTATTCTTTCTCCTACAAATGTCTCAGAGTGAGTTATCGAGACATTAAGTGCCAGTTAGTGACAAAGGGGTGGACTCTGGGGAACTTGTAACCGTTCTCATTTGTGAGTCTCTGTATTTCTACAGAGAATTTTATCAGAAATTCAAAATTCTATAACACTTTTGCACATGGAGACATATGCACCCAGCTAAAGCAACTTTCACAGCCCTTGATTCCCAGAAGGATTTTTTAGCTTAAATTTTCTGCTTTAACAACAGATATATGATATTCGATCTTCTTCAGGGTTTTCTTTTCAAGTAAATGTATTCCTGTACTTGTAGTTTTGATGCTCACATATTTATTTAATTACTGTCTTGCCATCTTACAAAGATTTCAATGCAAAAAGTAATAGGATTTTTGCTGTAGCTGAATCAATACTAAGTCTAATGTGTTTGTGCTCAAAGTGTAGCCCTACGGAATTCTATACTTTTTTCTTCTCTCTTTCTTATTTTGCTCTGCTTCTTTTATTCCTTCTATAGTTTTATCAGATGAATATTTCATTTTAGCCTGCCCTTTCCTTAAAACTCAAGGAAAGTAATAACACCTCCTTAACACATTCACCTACAAGATCCACTGTGCTGTTTATTTATTCAAAACATTTTTAGTCAGCTTTCTATCAAAATACCAAGGGTTACTTAAATGTAATGCATCTGAAAGAAAACACTAATTATTAGGCTGGCACTGTTGCCATTTCCCCTTCTTTGTAGGCATCAGAGCAGGCAACAAGGACATCACAATGCTAAGCTAAACTTCTGCGTGCTACAATAATCTATACAAATAAATACTTTATTTATATAGGTTTAAATCAAAAGCTGTCAACAAGAATCTTTCCTTTCATTGGGATGGATGGATTAATTAAAGTTTTTGTTGTATTAATTTTGCATGTGTCCATGTGGTCCAAAATATAAGCCCATGTGATCACACCTTTAATGTTCCTGATATCACTAAATTCTTCTCTTTCTAATTCTTGTGACTATCTCTGATAGAGAAGACATTTTGGTCTTCTAAATAGGCTGGGAGCAGGAATAGCTATCTGCTTCTCCAAATTATTTCTACAGAAGCTAGAATGCTTATCTTTCAGGTTAAAATATATATTTCCTAGAAGAATGTACTAACTTTCTTGTTTTCCTAAGTAAAGAGATGGAGGATGACTACTTTCCAGGGCAAAGTGTGTTCCTCCAGGCATCCCAGTTAATTAAAGGTCTGGATCCACTTAGCTAAGCTGTTAGTTCACTCACACCACCATAAGGTTATTCTGTTAACAGAATTGAAAACATAAAATTCCTTCTGTCTCTCTTCTGTTGAGAACAGGAGCAATGTGTCAGACCTCAGTCAGACCTGCTGTCGTGGCGGATGACGGACTGAATAACTGGGATCATATAACCAGTAGGAAAATGACACTGGCCAAATCCAGTTGCTTAGTGTAGTAAATAGAACTAGAGTACATCCATCAAGGACAGCACAATACAGAGTAGGTACATTTGAATGAACTTATGAAAGAGTTGACTCACCAAATCCCCATTGATTCAATAGGCCTGCTCTAGTGTGATTTATTGTGCTAAGCAACAGGATTTTGGCCACTGTCTGAAGCACCCCCTGGATGGGGAACATATGCACCTCACTCCTTTGCTTAGCAAAACTGTTTGCCAACAAATGCTGGGGGAGGGGGGAGAGATTGGGCTATAAAGTTCTCCTAATCTTTCCTTTTAAAGAACATTGTTCTTTTATGGATTCTAATCTCCAAATCAGACAAAAGATCCTACCTCATCCTATGGCTACATTCTGAGTACAATGTCAGAATCAGGTACATTTAGAATTCTTCCAGAAACAGCTCAGTGTGCAGTCCAGTTTAATTCATGTCAGTGCCTGCTATACAGTATATAGAATGATGTAAACAAGCCAAAGCAGTCAGAGGGAGACATTTAAGCATCAAACACTGCCTAGGGCCTAGGAAAGAAACTGCAGGAAAGATTATGCTGGAAGTAGAAATAGAGGTGTATTAAATGAGCAGTTGGTAGCCTAGTGTACCACTTTCTTCTCTCATAAATATCTTTATGGACCTCTGGCTGCCATACAGACTTTACACGTACTTTAACACTTCCTACATGTGGCAAACCAGTGTAATTTATTGTAATTCCATTGCATGCTTTACCATCTCTAGCCCACATGTCATATTACATTGTCCTGATTATCTTTGGACTTGCACAGATCAGAGTCCTATTAGCATAATGCAGATTAGCAATGGCTTCACACAGAGAAAATTAATCATGTCATAATATTCTTACTTTTCTTCCTCTGGTTCTCATGAACAAGTTTGAGTGGCTTTCTACGTACGTATTGATTGTGCAAGACCTTGTTTTCCTTATTTGAACAGTTTCAGGAGAAATTTATTTGTTTTTGGAGATATATTCTGATTGCATCCCAGTGTCTTTCCAAATCAAAATTGCTAACCAGTCTTCAGAATGTTGAAATTGAGATCTAGTTTACTCTGGAAAGATTCCAGTGTGACTGAGACATCTCATGATCTGTCACAGATAGATTGTTTCTGTTTTGTAATAACATTTGTTTGCATTCAAAGAACATCTCTAAACTAGAGATGAGCACAAACTTTTGGTTTGGAGTTCCGTGCTGGTTCATATGCATGCGGTGCTGCATGTTCCCTTCCCGCCGCCTCCCCAACTGGATCCCCCCACTCACCATCCACCACAGGTTGCTCTTCACCTCCTCTTCGGCTGTTCAGCCAGTATCCTTGGCTGACTGCCCACTCCGACAAGGACACAGGACAGGCAAACCCGTGCTCCTGCCCAGGGACTGGCCAAACAGATGAAGAGGAGGAGGAGAGGAGCATGTGCCGGCTGGTGAGTGGGTCACTGGACACGAAGGCAGGGGAAGGGAATGTGCAGCACCTGTGGTGCCAATGTGTACGAACCAGGATGAACCTCCGAACAGAAGTTTGTGCCCATCTATACTCTAAAATACAGCACAGTTTACTGCATATCGCGGTTTCCTTCCATCTTATCCCCTGCTGATGCTACGAGGGAAACATCATTTATGTTTCTACCTAACTGCACTTTTAAATTTTATTTTAGCTTTTAATTTTTTTATATATAGGAGTAGTTCATTAACTGAGCAGGGAGTGGTACCTCACTCCAAAAACTGAGTGAGGGGACTCTTCAGACATATATATGAACAGGAGCAAATAATGATTCATGTTAACTAGAGCTTGTGCAAACAAATCAACCTTAAACCATATTTGACATTTCTTTGAATAAGAAAATATTTATTATCATGATGGTGTTGATTGATTGGTTGGTTGGTTGATTGATTGAGCTTCTGTACCACCCAATTAATGCAAGGCACTACTCTGGGCAGTTAACAACGGAAGAAATATAATATAACAATGATTAAAAAATAGAATCAAATCAAACCAATGAACATAAAGTAAGTCAACCAATTTTATTAACCAATATTTTATTAGCTGATAAAGAATAAAAGAAAGTAGTGCTATGCAGACAAAACTAATGAAGGTGTATAATACAAAGAATACATATACAAACCTAATCAATATTGTCTTTATTACTATAATTTGTTAATGACATTAGCAATAGTAATGCACAGCACATACTGATCACACAGTGTACTTCTCCCTCTTGTTGTTCATGAACATAGCATGATACTGGATAAAATTGTCAGTATTTTATATTCATTCATTTATTTGTTTGTGTTTTATTTATAGCCCTCCTTTCTCCTGATAAGGAAACCCAAGGCATATTACAATATTAAAAGAACAGAATTAAAAACACAATAAGTTAAAAATTAAAAACAAACAAACTTTACACTAATTAAAATACAATCAAATAATAAAAGCAGGTAAACATTAAAAACTGTCGTAACTTTAAAATGGCATTCAGGGAATCAATCATGATTGCTAAAAGCCTGTTGGAAAAGATAGGTCTTTAGCTATTGGTGGAAAGACAGAAGGGAGAGGGCCAGTCTGATCTCTGGAATGATAGCATTCTATAACCTGGGAGATGCCACAGAGAAGACCCTCTCTTGGGTCCCCATCAACTGTGCCTATGCTGGCAATGGGTTTCTGCTACTTGCCAAATCCTAGGCAAGCAGTCACTTAAGTGAACCCTGGATCCCCAGATGTTCTTTGACTCAAACTCCAAGAAGACTTCACCACTAGCTGTGCTGGCCAGGACTTCTGGGAGATGTAGTCCAAGAACATCTGAGGACCCAAGGTTGGGATGCACTGATCAATATTCTTCCCCATTTGACTGTTTCATCAGTGTGTGTTACACCAACAATATCTACAAATCCTATTTTTTCTCCCTTATACATAAATCACCTAACATAGTAGCTGAGGGGTCCTGAGCAAGTTCATACCCTGCAATATCTTTTACATATGAAATCATGACTTCTAATGTCATACTATTTGAACAGAATCACTAGAAATGCACAAAAGTATGACTGGCTTGCCTAACAGCTGTGGGTGATTAGGTTTCCCTGCTTACACTTTTTATCTGTTTCTTATACAGGAACATAGGAAGCTTATACAAAATCATGCCTTTGGTCCACCAAGCTTATATTGTCAAAACTGACTAGTGACAGAGCTGTAGAGTTTTAGGCTAAATCTAACATTCTCGAGGTGAAACATTTGGAACTTCCATCTCCTCCCCTATGCAACCTTCTGCATTATGTGCCGTCAATTTGGAACCAATTTATAGTAAATATAATAGGTCTCTCCAGGTAAGTGAAATATTGAAGGAGTGTTTTTTCTAGTTTCACCCAGGTCTACTAGTCCATCACTCAGTCCACTGTTACCACACTGGATACCCTACTTTCTGTATTGCCCCCAGATGGAGGGATCCCCACCTCCAGTGCTAGTTTTCAGGAGGCATGGGCAGAGGGCGCTATAGGTGTAAGAAAAATGTTTCCCCGATATGATTGTGGTTAATTCCACCATTCCATCAGCAGAAATCTGCCACTGTATCCATGTCCGATGAAGTACACTTGTCCATAAAAGCTTACATTAAAATATAATAGCTGTTCTTTAAGGTGCCACATGTTTTTGTCTTTGTTTTGCTTTGCTTTGTTTCCTTATATTTTGCCTGCTATGTAACCTCTACATTTACCAACCCTACCTAAGTTTGTACCTCAGCTCAGGCGTTTTGCATGCAGAATGCCAGCAATTCCATTCAAGCTGCCACTGCTTCTCTAGAGACAACTTCATTCAACTGTGGCATCACAGTCATTTAATATTTTATGGAATGGCAGCAAATTCTGTACCAAGTGGTGCATATTCAGATGGCACATACGCAAGTTGCAGTTCAACTTTTAGGAAAAAAAATTACAGTTGTCAGTAAGAGCTGGCAACTCCCATAAATCATGAGTGGGGGAAGGGATACTAGTTGGGTGAGAGACAGATGTGGTATTTGTGCGCGCTTTCATTGTGCTCCCAATATTACCCACTCAGTTCTGTGCAGACCTCTTTAGGCACTGGGCAAGCAAGCTATTAGTATCAACATTCCCTACTCTAATAGAGTTTGCTCCCAATTTTTTTTCCAGGTATGTTTTGTGCAATAGTGGAGGTTTAGATCTGGTAAGTTCTGGTAAGTTCATCATGAAACGTTCTGCGGGAGAAATAGCAACATTATTGTGTGATAAGAAAGGGTGGTAGACTCTTGAAAGTCAAACATGTAACTGCTAAGGGAGAAAGAATTACTACTGCAGGTGAAAAAAAAATCATCGACTATACACAGTAATACAGAAATGACTGTGCAGATAATTCCGCAGTTTATAGAAAACTTCCCATAGCTATGTGGAGGAAGTGCACTGCATTATTATAGACGTGCTCTTTGATTATTTCCATTGTGGATAGTTTTGTGATGGTTCACATATACTAGCATAGTTCAAATGAATCAGCCCATTTTCCATCATAAAACAGGTTCCATAGACTTGTCAGTATGTTGCAGTCACCTCCCTGAGTTTCATCTAAAAATCCATTCAACTCATTTTCTGTCGCATCAAGAGGAGATGGCGGAAAACTCATTCCCTGAATCTCATTCCTCACACTTCACCTCCCACACACAGTGACTGAAGCCTGAATCACCGTATTTGATGGTGTTTCAGCTGCATAATTCAGGTTTTGTGTATTGTCTAATATGATAACCTAGGCCTGCCTTTCTCTATGTCTTTCTCCTCCTTTGGTGAAGTAGCTTTGCCAGACTTCAGAGTGATTCCATTTTCAGTCCTCAGACAAATCTCTATTCCATAAAACCCCATTATTCATAGAAACTATTTTTCTGTGCCTCAAATACCTACATGCTGCCTCAATATCAGTGTAACTTTCTTATCACATTACCTGGCATAATAAGGTAGGGTTGCGATAGCTCAACCAGCACTACCCCAGACTAAAATTTTTCTTTCTTGTCTTGCCTCTTACTTTATTCCTGCTGCGAAGCTCTGTAATATCAGAGATTTTATTAAGCCAAACCCAGAACCTAAAAGTGCCCAGGTGGCAATGCTTGGTTAAAATGCAAAACTTTTATTGAGCTATATGCCATTCATTTGACCTTCTTGCCTAAGTAACTACAGGAATATTTCCAGCACTGCTTCAAAAACATAACCATGACCATACATAAGAAGCTGATAGTGAAAGCCTGTATTGGGCAGCCAAGAATATTTCCTTCTTTTGTAGATACTCAATAGCAAGGTATTGCTTTCATCTTCAGATTCTAGCTAAATGTCACACCTGGAATTCCTTCCCTTGGCAGAAACAGCTAGTGGCCCTGACTTGTTTTAGTATACATTGAAATCCCATCCCTCTTTTTATTGTATGTTAACCTTCTGAACACCAATCCAGATTCTGCTGGAAAAGATCAGACAGTTCACCCCCCACCAGTTTAAAGCAGGACAATGTTATGCAATGTTAATGCTGAATTTACTTACTGCATAGCTGCCCTTCGTCCTCGCCCTCCGCGCAGTCTCTGTAGAAATCACACACCTGCCCCAGCTTGATTATGGTTCCATTCCAACAAGTAAAGGAACTCTGCAGAGCCATTTTAGGGACAGAAGGAGGTCCTGTGGAAAAAAAATGGTGTGTGTATAAATATATATACTGTACATACATTGAACCACACCACAGCAATTTGTAGAGCAAACCCAGCTGTATCTTACTTCTCGACTCCAGACAAAGAACCAGTGAACAGCTGGAGGGATACAGCACCTGATTTTTGTTCTGTCGACACAGACTGGTTCATGAGGGTCATGACATTGGCAGTGTACACAACACATCTGGTTATATCTCTATATGCGTGTCTCTGGGAACTATCCCAATACCCTCAGTGAGTTTGATCAGGAGACATTCCCAATCCCACCATACAAATGGCTACCTCACCATAATATATGCTTTACAAAAAGGCCTGTTCACCTAAACACCTTCCTTCTGTACTTTCAACAAGTAGTATTAGATTTAACAGTATGCACAGTGATTCCGCCCCCATCCTCCCATTGTGTCATAATGTATAGCAAGGCTGCTAGTCTTGGATTTTGATGTTACCACTGAGAACAAAATTTCAGAAGCATAGCCTACAGTTTCTTGCAACCAAATGAGCCAAGACGACGTCCAGCTGCTAGGAAAAGGAACATACATTTGCTTCCTATTCTTTTTTCTATCCATAGATATAATATTCTGTATCAGCTTTAGCCTGATACCTTTCAAAAGTTTTAGTTTAACTCTTATTATCCCAGCCCATTGGCCATGCTGTTTTTGTGGCTAATGGGAGTTCTCATCCAAATTTGGCATGAATGACGTTGGTGCCTCATGGTGCAGTGGTTAAACTGCAGTTCTGCAGTAAAGACTCTGCTCACGACTTGAGTTTGATCCTAATAGGTACAGGTAGCTGGCTCAAGGCTGATTTTGCCTTCAGTTCTTCCAAAGTCAGTAAATTGAGTACATAGATTGCCAGGGGTGGGGGATGGGTAACCTACATAATTAAATTCTAAACTACCCATAGAGTGCTTTAAGGTGAAAGATACCATTTGTGCTCCCCCCACTTCTTGGTTTTAAATATATATTGCTATAGTAGTGGCATCACAGTTGCAACTCAACATTGGCGTCCTATGAAGGGGTCCCGGCCCGCTTACTGAAGAGCAATGATTGGAAGGCAAGGCACTTGCGACCATCTAGGTAACATTGATCTTTTTATTGATAGTTCGCTAATTCCCAAGTCTGTTTGTATATCATTTGGCAGAAAATACGGTGAGCTGAAGTTCTTCCTTGAATTCATGCTAAGGTTTGATGTTACTGTAAGCCTCCAAACTGACACATTGTCTGAGCCAGTGGAGGTGGACTCTGAGGTGATTTCTTTCATGTTTTCCTTTCTTTTTCACAGCTCTACTAATATATTGAAGGCAGTGCGCTGCTGTTACATGTATATTAAAAACTCAGGAAGTAAAATATTCCTGCCATGCCTCTGGGTTACATTACAGTAATTGTTTTCACAATTATTTTCCTGTATGATATATCCACGCATTAAAAAGTATTGATACCTACCCTATTAGACAGCTGGACAAACTAATTTTCTTTTCATTAGTTTTGTGTATGCATTTAATCGTGCCAAATAAGAAAAGTTATTTTTTTCCTATTTAAAACACACACATTTTTTCTTCTCAAAAATATTGTTCTAAAATGTCAACAGAATGACTTTCGAATTATTGTACACACAGTAAAAATGGTGCACTCACTATGATATGCTACTGTGAATGTTGCTGTTGGTGGAAAAGAGAGACATGGGTGATTATATTTTGCCCCAATCTTGCATTGTCTGTTGCCTTCCAACAGTGGACTCCATGAAGGAAACAACATGTATAGGCAGTTGAAAGAATAGGCTTCACAACTGTAAAGATATGTTTTTTTAACACAACAGTGGAAAAATATTTGATACAATCTGTACCATCTATTCCACTTCTCTCCCATTACTCTTAAAGAACCTCTTCTGAAATATCCATGAGTTGACTCTTCAGTTATTTTAAAAACGGAAGCTTTTTCAGGCCAGGTGAGAAGACAAACTGGTCTGAATTTGACCTGTGGGCCAAGTCTATTCCACCTGCAGTTCAAACTTTGCTCAGGCCTGTATGCAACAAAATGCATTACACATTGAGTTTTTTTAAATTCTATGACATCAGCAGTGGATGTTGATATAGTTCCAATCAGTAGGCAATGTTGTATAACTCAAGGACAAAGTTCTGTTCCATTATTCTGGAGGGCAGCATCCTAGCAGTGGCAGGCCATAGCAGGCCCAAAAGCAAAAGGAGGAACCACAAAATTCTAGCATATTTTATCTTAAATCTCTTACAACTGCTAATAATCTTAGGAGAAACATTTCAGTCTTTCAGAATGGGGAGAAAAAGAAAAAAGCTGGAAAACCACTAAATGATGGCGTTATAGGAAACAGGGCATGAAGTATTCTTTCTGTAGAAACTCTATTTGGAACCTCTATAGGAGGTCTGGATCCAGCTCTTTCCTGGCTTACAGAAGTAGCTGAAGGAGAATAACTGAGTGAGTAAGGAGGAGTGGTCAATGTTTCCTTGAATCAAATCATCATTCAGGCAGGCCTAAAGGACAGAAGAAAGATACCATTTCCCCCCAAATAAGACAGGGTCTTATATTAATTTTTGCTCCAAAAAATGCATTAGGGCTTATTTTCAGGGGATGTTTTATTTTATTTTTCATGTACAACAATCTACGTTTATCTAAATACAGTCATGTCATCTTATTCTGGTTGCTGCACAATGGTGTAGGGTGGGGTTTCACTTAACTGGGGCTTATTTTGGGGGTAGGGCTTATATTACGAGCATCCTGAAAAATCATACTAGGGCTTATTTTCAGGTTACATCTTATTTTAGAGGAAACAAGGTAGTTGAAAAACCTCTTCTTGAATCCCATCATACTGCATAACTATCAGACAGTTTCCAATATTTCATTCCTGGACAACGTATTTGGAACATGCCATGGCTTCTCAGCTCCAAGCGTTCTTGTCTAAAATGAATTATCAATACCTATTTCAATCTGGCTTCATGCCTGGTTATGGACAGAGAGAATTTTGGTCGATCTCATGGACAATGTAGTACAGGAAGCAGGTGGAGGAGTTTGTCCTGTTTAATGCATTAGCTGTTGGCATTTAGGGGACCCTAGATTTGTGTTTTGTCCCTTGTGCTATTTAACATATTGCTGAAACCACTGTTTGGATCTGCTGTTGAGCTTACCTTCAGCAGCATGGGTCCCCTTTGTTTCCTTCCAAGAATAATGGGAGACACTTGGCCTGCACGGCAATGGCTTGCCTATGGTCTAGGTCAGTGGTTCTTAACCTTTGTTACTCAGATGCTTTTGAACTGCAACTCCCAGAAACCCCAGTCAGCACAGTTGGTGGTGAAAGCTTCTGGGAGTTGCAGTCCAAAACTCCTGAGTAACCCAAGGTTAAGAACCAGTGGTCTAGGTCAGTGGTTCTTAACCTTGGTTACTCAGGTGTTTTTGAACTGCACCTCCCAGAAACCCCAGTCAGCACAGCTGGTGGTGAATGCTTCTGGGAGTTGCAGTCCAAAACAACTGAGTAACCCAAGGTTAAGAATCACTGCTCTAGGTGGCTCTTCATTCAATACAGAATATGATACGCAGGGGTTTAGGGCCCCGAGCAATCCTTGGCCCAGTATAAGTACACAGACAGGTGGCTGGGCAATGCCATATCTGCAAGTTTCGTTTCCTGTTTTGATGAGCTTGACTGCAGCTGTGGGGGTGTGGCCTTATCCATACTGGGTATGGTGCGGTCCCTTTGAAGGCTTTGCCATTTGGAGACCATGCTATGCCATTGGGTGATCACCTCACCCCTGCAACTAAGGTAAAATACGATTTGAAAAATATGTTGACCTTTTTGAGCTTTTTAATAGCAACATAGAAAAGAAGGACCTTGATAGGGAGGATGAAAAAGATAAGGAGAGGCGTAGGAGATGCAGACCTGAGAGGACATGGGCTAACTGGCTTCCTGGTGTCCTAATTTATGCTGGGGTGGTAGAGAGGGCACAGCCCTGGAGGGCGCTGTCATTATTCCAATACCTTGATTAGATATACAGGGCATATGTAGACTTAGTTGGGCAAGCATGGCAGGTGGTACAACCCTGCCTGCTCTGCTGGGATTACAATGTGAGAGGTGCATGCAGGTGAAAAGCATGCATTTTATTTATTTATTTATTTATTTATTTATTTATTCATTCATTCATTCATTCATTCATTCATTCATTCATTTATATCCCGCCCATCTGGTCTGGTCGATCATTCTGGGCGGCTTCCAATAAGGTGTATACGATAAAACATAAGGATTTTAAAAAGAGTCCATAACACATACAATAATAAAACAAATAATAAATGAAAGAAAAAATAAAGAAAGAATTAATTATTGACAGGAGGGAAGGCCTGAACATACAACCATGTTTTTAGTTGATTTTTAAAAGTGCCCAGCGTAGGGCCCGCACGAATCACCAGAGGAAGGTTATTCCAGAGGCGAGGAGGCACCGCCGCGAAGGCCCAGTTTCGTGTACTTTCCTTCCGGGCCTCCCTCGGCGTTAGGCTCCTCAGCCTCACTTCCTGGCTCGTGCGGGTGATCCGATTAGATCTAGGTGGGAGCAGGCGTTCCGCCAAGTATTGGGGTCCTAAACCACCTGAAGTTTCCGCATCAGCTTCAAAGGGAGCCCCACGTAGTGTGTGTTATAGTAGTCTAATCTAGAGATTACGAGTGCATGTACTAAGGTAGTGAGCGCCCTCGTGTCTAAGTAAGGTCACAGCCGGGCAATCCACCAAAGGTGGAAAAAGGTGGTGCGGATTACCGACACCACCTGTATTTGCATGGTGAGCGTCGGGTCCAGGTGTACCCCCAGGCTGCGGACCCCACTCTTCGTGGCCAGGGCCACCACCACCCCAAACATGAGGGTGTTTCCCAAGACACCATCCACAGGGCCACCCACCCTCAGAACTTCCGTCTTGTCTGAGTTCAGCCTCAGCCTGTTCTCCTGCATCCATTGCAGTACGG